TTATTTGTTTGGTTTTTTTTTTTTTTTTTTCATTTGGAGACTCACTGTGTTACCCAGAAAGGAGTGCAGTGGCATGCTCATGGCTACCTCAGGGTCAACCTCCTGGGCTCAGGCCATCATTCTGCCTCAGCCTTCCAGGTAGCTGGAACTACAGGCATGCGCTACCATGCCCGGCTAATTTTCCAGTTTATTGTAGAGATGAAGTTTCGCCAAGTTGCCCAGGCTGTTCTTGAACTTGTGGGCTCAGGCATCCCTCTCACCTTGTCCTCCCAAAGTGCTGGGATTACAGGCTTGAGCCACCGAGTCCAGCCTCAGATACATATTTTGCAAAGATTTTTTTCCCCCAGTCTATGGTTTCCCTTTCTCTTCTCTTAATAGTCTTTTGCAGAGTGTAACTTTTTAATTTTAATAAAGTCCAACTTATCATTTCTTTCTTTCCTTAGCCGTGCTTTTGATGTTGTATCCATAAAGTCAACGCCAAATTCACGGCCACTTATGTATTCTCTTATGTTAACGTCTAGGAGTTTTATTGTTTGAGGTTTTTACATTTAGGTCTATGATCCATTTTTAGTTAAGTTTTTGACAGATGTAAAGCCTGTCTGTAGCATCTTTTTACAATTTTACATGAGAATGTACAGTAGTTCTACCCCTATTTTTAAAAAGACTATCTTTGCTCTATTGAATTGATTTTGCTCCTTTGGCAAATATCAGTTGACTTTATATCAGTCTATATCTGGGCATTATATTCTGTTATATTAATTTATTTGTCTGTTCTTGTACCAAACCACATTGTTTTGATTACTGTAGCTTTATCGTAATCTTGGAGTTGAGTTGTGTCAGTCTTCTGACTTTGTCTATGCCCTTTGATTCTTTGTTGGTTATTCTGGATTTTTTGCATTTACATATAAACTGAAGAAGCAGTTTTCTGATATGCACAGAAATAGAACTTGCAGAAGTTTTGATTGATATTGAATTTATAGATCAGGTTTAGACAAATTGACATCTTGACAATGTCAAGCCTTCCTAATCATGTACATGGAATATCTCTCCATTTATTTTGATCTTTGATTTCTTCCATCAAGGTTTTCTGGTTTTTCTCATAAAAATCTTATACATTTTTTGTTTGATTTGTATCTAAGTATTTCATTTCCCTGCTCTCTTGATGGTTTCTTTGGCTTTGCAGAAGCTTGTCAGTTTAATGAGGTCCCACTTATCTATCTTATTTCTTATGGCCTGGGCACTTTGGGTTTTGATCAGGAATCGGTTGCCAGTTCCAATTTCCATAAGAGTGTTTCCTGTATTTTCTAAGGTTCTTACAGTTTGAGGTTTTACATTTAGGTCTTTGATCCATTTAGAGTTAATTTTTGTGTATGGTGATAGGTAGGGGTCCAGTTTCAATCTTCTGCATGTTCAGCCAGTTTTCCCAGTACCATTTACTGAATACGTTAGATCATTGGCATTTTAAGTGATCATTGATATTGTTTGAATAGTATCTACTTTGTTACTATTTTCTTTTCTTTTTCTTTTCTTTTTTTTGTCAGGGTCTCACTCTGTCGCTGAGGCTGAAGGACAGTGGCAGCACGATCACGGCCACTGAAGCCTCAACCTGCTGGGCTCAGGCAATCCTTCCACCTCAGCCTTCTGAGTAGCGGTTACTACAGGTGTGCGACACCATGCCCAGCTAATGTTTTGATTTATTGTGGAGATGAGGGCTCACCAAGTTGCCTAGGCTGGTCTCGAATCCATGAGTTCAGGCAATCTTCTCACCTCAGCCTCCCAAAGTGCTGGGATTATAGGTTTGAGCCACTGGGCTCCATCTGTTCCTTTTTTCATTTATTGGTTTTGTTGTTTGTTTCTTTCAGTCTTTTTGTGCCTTCTCTTGATTTAATTGAATATTTTATGTGATTTCTGTCCTCTAAGTATATTCTTTTTTTTTTTTTTTTTTTAGGGTTTGTCTTAGAGCTTGAAATACGCATTTATAATCCATGTCCACATGCAAGATACACTGTGTTGCTTATAGGCTTCACAACAACCATACAACAGACTATTTTCAAGGAGATTTTCAGTTTCTTTTATACTATTGCTATCATTCTTTTTAATTATTCATAAACTGTAATTATCAAATATATTATTCCAATTAGTATTTTAGATAAAATCGTATCTGTCAGATCACTTGAGAATAAGAAAAGGCCAGGCTCAGTGACTCAGCCTGTAATCCCAGTGCTTTGGGAGGCTGAGATGAGTAAATTGCCTGAGCCCGCGGGTTCGATACTGGTGAGACTTCGTCTCTACAATAAATAAAAAAATTAGCCGGGTGTAGTAACACACGCCTGTAGTTCCGGCTACTTGGAAGGATGAGGCAGAAGGATTGCCAGAGCCCAGTGGGTGGACTCTGGGGTGGCCGTGAATGTGCCATTGCACTCCAGCCTGGGCAATGGAGTGAGACTCCAACTCGGAAAAAAAAAAAAAAGAATAAGAAAAATATTCCCACCAGCAGTACAAAAGCGTTTCTTTTTCTTCGCATCCTTTCCAGCATCTGTTGTTGTTTGTGTTATTATTGATGGCCATTCTTACTGGGGTTAGATGGTATCTCGGTGTGGTTTTCATTTGCCTTTCTCTGACGATGAGTGAGGCTGAGCACTTTTTCATGTGTCTGTTGGCTGCCCGGATATCTTTTTTTAAGAAGTGTCTATTCATGTCTTTTGCCTACTTTTTAATAGGCCTTTTGTTTTTTTCCTTTCTGCACATTTGAGTTCCTTGTAGATCCTGGATCCCTCTGTCAGATATACAATTGGCAAATAGTATTTCCTCTTCTTTGGTCTGTCTCCCCACTGGCTTGATGGTTCCTTTTCCTTTGCAGAAGATTTTCAGTTTGATGAGGTCCCACTTGTCTTATCTCTTATGGCATGGGCACTATTCAAAATAGTAAAAGCATGGAACCAACCGTGCTGCCCATTGAAATTGGTCTAGATAAAAAAATGTGGTACATACACACAATGGAATATAATGCAGCTATAAAGAAGGACAAGCATATGGACTTTGTGGCAACTTCAATGGATTTAGAGTCTATCATACTCAGTAATCTGTCACAGAAACCACATGTTCTCACTCATAAGCAGACCTTGAACATTGACTGTAATACTATAAGAAAGGGATTGGCCATAGCGGGATACTCCTGGGGTGGGTGGGTGTGATGGGGAGGCACAACATTAATTAGTGTACCTGATCTTAAACCAGGCAAAGTGGGGACCTTAGGGAGGCCCAAAGTTACCTGAATGATGCCCACTTGTATACCAAATCCTAAATTATACCCCACATCTTTAAAATTAAAAAAATAAAAAAATCTCCAAGCATATGAAAAGTATAAGATACCATTTTATTTTCATTTATTTTTTCCCTAGTCTTCTGTTTTTCAATGTCAGTGCACTTTCTTGACATATTTTTTTTTCTATCTGGAGAACTTCTTTGCACATTTCTTGGAAGACAAGTCTACTGGAGACAAATTCCTTAAATTTCTGTCCTTTTGAGGAGTTCTTTATTTTTCTATCACTTTGGAAGAATATTTTTGCAGCATATGCAATTTTGAATTGGTGGGCTTCTTCCTTGCAATAACTTAAACATTTTACTTCACTCTCTTCTCTTTTAATGATTTCTTGAGAGAAGACTGATGTCATTCTTTTATTTGCCTTTTTGTAGGTAACATTTTTTTTTCTCTCCTGCTTCTTTGAAGATTTGTCTTGTTTTTTATTTTCAGCAGTTTGAATATGATATGCCTACTTAGTAGTTTTTTTGGTATTTGTCTTGATTGGTGTTCTCTAAGCTTTCTACATCTGTGATTCGGCATTTGTCTTGTGTTTTGGAAAATTCTCAGTCATTGTTATTTCAATTATTTCTTATGTTCCTTTCTGTTTTTCCTCTCCTTCCGGTATTTGATATTAAAACTTTTGTAATTTTCCACCAGTTCATAGATATTTTACTTCATATTTCTTACTTGTTTTTCTCTTTACATTTCAGTTTTCAAGTTTCCATTGACAAATTTTTAAGCTTACAAATTTTTATGTCCAGCTTTGTTCAATGTACTGATGAACCCATTAAAGGCATTCTTCAATTCTGCTACAGTATTTTTGACTTCTAGCATTTCCTTTGGATTTCTTCTTCACGTTTTCATGTCTGCTATTATTACCTATCTGTTCTTACATGTTGTCCTCTCTTTTCCGTTAGAACACTTATGATATTAAGCATAGTTACTTTAAATTGACAGACTTATAATTCTACGATCTCTGCCTTATCTACATATGGTTCTGATATGTCTTCTTTCTCTTCAGACTGTGTTTTTTGTTTTTAAATTTTTTGCCTTGTAATTTCTATTTTGAAAGTAAGAGATGATGCTCAGACAAAAGGAACTGAATTAAATGGGTCTTTAGTGGGAGGTTTTGTGTTTATCTGTCTAGGAGCTAGGCTGTGCTTAATTTGCTGTTGCTGTAGTTGTCAGAGGCTCAATTGTCTTCTGGTATTGTTGTTTTGTGTTCAGATTTCTTTATTTCTTTTTAAATAAGGTCTAGACTTACATTTCTTTCCATTGTAACATGCCCCTCCCTGCCTCCCCTCACCCACTTCTGCTCCTTGGCTTCTGCTCTGGTAAACTCTGATTCTCTGTATTCTTCTGTCTAGTTTTTGAAGTAGCACTTTTTCCTCAGACTTCAATTATCTGCTGGATCTAATAATAGTTGTTGATTTCCCATTTGCTCACATTTTTAAAAATTATTGTCAGGATGGGTCTGATAACTTTCAAGGTTTTTACATGTTGGACTAGAAATTGGAATCCTTGGGCCAGTTACTTTTGATCTCTTGGCTTTCGATTCCCTATCTGTAAAATAAAAGGTAACATCACTAGTTGGTGCCTATGTGCTCCTTTAACTCTAGCATTCTGTCAAGTCTTATAGGCACAATTTCACAAACGATTATGCAAATATGTGATATTTGTTGCCCTTCCTCCACAGGCAGACCTCCAGGTAGACAAGGAGAGGCATAATTTCTTCGAGTCTTCCCTTGATTATGTTTATCAAATCCAGGAAGTTCAGGAGTCCAAGAAGTTCAATATTGTGGAGCCTGTAAGTTCTCTTTATTCATGAATGGTCTAAAATTGAATCTCAAATAATGTGAAAGATATTCAGTGGTTGATAATGAATGTCAAGAATATAGTCACTTTGGAAGTGGCTTATGTTTTCTTGCTCTTTCACTAATATTCCTTCTCTCTGTCTCCCTTGTCCTTCCCCCATTTTTTCTCTTTGTTTGTGACTATTTTCTTTATTCCTCTTTCCTTTTCATAGTTTCTTCTTTCCTTTCTCCCTCAATTTGTCTGCCATTCTTCCTATTACATCGTTTCCTTCTCTTACTTCCTGCATTGGTTTTAGTAAATTTCTGAAAGTACCCCTCATATACCAAGTTCTATGCTTGGAACTCATGTCCCTTTCATTCAATCACTTCTCATTTTACTATTTTTACTTCTATCTTTTGTAATATTTTCAAATACAGTCTCCTTAATTTATTTGAAAAGATTAGATATCCTTTGATTTAACAAGCATGTTGAATTTTAATAACTGTGCAGTCATTGCAGAAATGTTAGAAAAAACTCATAGAAAAAAAAAAAACCAAATTGTTTATATAGAGCTAATAATTGTTAATATTGTGGTACTTTCCTTTCCAAATTTTCCATTTTTCTATCATATTTTTTTCGCTCTATATATGTGCATGTATATTATAGACGTTTGTTTTTGTACATGTGTGTAAGTATATATAATGCACACGATGAACATGTATATCTATGTACTTGTGTATCTGTGTTCAAACTTGCATATATCTGTATATGTGAAAGCAAGTATTTGTTTAACAAATCCTTATTATTTTTTTTCATGTTTCAGGCACTGTGCTAGACACAGGTAAATGTATAGTGAATGAGAATGACTTAGTTTCTTTATTAAGACTATACTCTGTTGTGGATTAGACTTAGAGAAAGGGGATGGAGAGACAGAAAAAGAATTAGTTTGAACATAATTAAAGTAATTCAAAGGTGTGATAAAGACTGTAAAGGAAATAAAAAAGGTTTAAAATAAAGAGCAAAAATGGGAAGCTAATTTAGATCAAGTTGTGAAGGAGACCTTTGAAAATGCCATTATCAATGAGATGTAAAGGAAGAGAAGATACAGCCATGAGAATAGTGGGGAAATAACATACCATGCACACAGAAACACATGCGAACAGCCCTTAAATTAGGAAAGAATAGTGTTCTCAAGGAACGAAAAGATTCTGTCTTTGGATGCTGGTGAGAGAAAAGGAGAGTGGCAGGAGATGTCTGATAGGAAGGCATAAAACTTGTAGACATGGTAAGGGGTTTGGATTTTAGTGTAATTGCAGGTGAAAAGCAGTGAAGAGTGTTAATGCAGGATTTGATTTGGGCCTATTTTGTAGTGTGGTGCATAGCTTGATAGGGGCCAAGAGTGGAAGCGACTTAACCAGTTAGGAGGCTACTTGCAGTGTCTAGGCAAGAAACAATGGCTTCGGTTAGGGAAATAGTAAAGAATGCCTGGATTAGGAACATATTTTGTAGGAAAAGCTGACAGGAAATACTGATGAACTAGAGTGAAGTAAGAGTAAAAGAGAGAAATTGGGAATGATTCTGTAGTTTCTGGCTTGGATGAGGGGGTGGTAATGTCATTTTCTGAGATGGAGGAGCTTGGGAGAGAAATGGATTGTATATATGAGTGTGATTGTAGTACTCACACTTTTACACACATATGTATTATACATGCACATGTGTGTTTATTATATATTTAAAAATTTTTTAAACTATTTTTTATTTTTACTGATTTTATTTTATTTTTTAGAGACAGGGTCTTGCTATGTTGCCTAGGCTGGTCTCGAACTCCTGATCCCAAGCAGTCCTTCTGTCTTAGCCTCCCGAGTTCCTGGGATTATACACACAACTCCACTCCCAACATTCATGTAGTTTTTATATGTGGTACAAATATATGTGTACACACACACAGTTATCATCTATTTGCTTTCTAAAAAGAATAGAACAATTTTTACTACCTATTACACTTTACCAGCATTGAGCATTATTTAAAAATACTTATTGGATAAAAATCATATATTCTGTTTTTAATTGATGTGTATTCTATTTGATTTACATTCAGGTTGAACTTTCTAAACATTTAAAATACATTATTGATCATTTGGATGTCTTTCTCTGCATCCCCTTGAAACCTTTCAAATTTGAAAATTGGTTCAGGCTCTTTTGATCTTTTAGCATTATTAGTCTTCATTAAGGTACAGAATCTTACTTTATTCATTCATCTATTTACTTATTTATTCATTCACCAACATTTATTGAGCACCTACTGTGTACCAGTCCTGAGGATATATAGAGAAAATACATGGTCTGTTTCCATATTGTCCAAATGATGAATGGCTTTGTGTGCTATCTGAACAAGCTTTAGGTGAATAAATGTGTTGATGTCTTATTTTCTGAAGCTGAGTCAAAGGTAAATGTTTAACTTAATATGAAAGTAGTTATGTGTAGACATGTTTGTATTTGCATGACTGCATTTAACACTATACTGGGTAAGAACTGTAGAGTTTCTTTTCTAAGTTCATGATTATCTTATTTAATTAGCAGCTTCTGGTGATAATGTTATTTTTCCATCTTTTTCCTAGGTCTTGGCCTTTCTTCATAGCCTCTTCATTTCCAACAGCTTGACTGTGGAGCTCACACAGGATTTCCTCCCATACAAACAGCAGCTTCAGCTCAGTTTGCAGAATGTGAGTTTGCTTGTAGGTTTTTCCACTTGTTTCTCTATTCTGATTGGATTTCAGTCCCAATGACCTTTGCCTTGGAATTCTAGATTATTGCATTCCAGCCACTAATGACCTGTTCTTACTCTTTCAGTTCCACTTCTCTGTTTTAGGCTGACTGCTGTTCAAACCCATCTGTTCACACACCAATATCTCCATCTATCCAATATTTATGAAATGCTGCTAATTTGTTGCATCTTTCCTAGATCAGAACCCAGCTATGACTTATTTAAGCACAGGTTTTAAGCGATTTCCCTGGTAGTTCAAGACACTCTCTCTGTGGGTTTTATTATCACAAACACCCATTTTTGCCCTTTCTTTCCTCTCTTTCTTTTTACTTTTCTTACTATTTATTACTAGAGTAAAAAAATATTTTTAAAGGGGTTTCTCCACTTTGTCATGCGTGTTCTTATAGATAGATATAGTCCCAACCTTCTCATCTTTGTCACATATATTGTTTTACACATTCATTTGTTTAACCCACATTTAGCAAACATTTATGGACACAGTGAGCATACGTCTATGGCAGATATTATGAAAAGCACTGGACATGACATAATGATGCATGTAAGTTTTTCTGTTTTGAAGGCAACACATACCGTTTCTTGGAGGAGATAGACACAAACATAGATAATTTATAATGCATTATGGTAAATGCTACAGTAGAGTCAGGATCATAGTTTCTTAAAAGGCAGAGAGAATGGAGCGGTTGGCTCCCTGGTAGAGTCAGAAAATGCATCACTGTGGTGGTGACTTACATTGCATGAAATTTATAGATGTATTTTTATTATATGAAAAATGCTGGTAAGTTGTAGTGGAAATACGCCTCACTTGGTTGTTTAGGGGGATTGTGACTTACAGTTGGTATTATTTTTTCTTTCTTCATACTCTCCTTCACTAACATTTGAGATCCTCTGTCTTCTGCTGATTGAAAAACAATCTTTCTACAACCAAGTTAATCACTTGAATCTCCATTTATAACTTGACAAGTTGAGTGTAACAATAAGCCTTTGCATGCATACATATGGGTGACTCATTTACATGATAATGGTAGTGTGGACTGATCAAATTGGGCAGCACAGATCATCTTTTTCTTTCTTTTTTTTTTTTTTTGAGTCAAAGTCTCACTCTGTCACACAGACTGGAGTGCAGTGGCTGCTCCCAGCCCCCGCAGCCTTGACCTGCAGGGCTCCGGTGATCCTTCCGCCTCAGCCTTCCAAGTAGCTGGAACTACAGGCGCGCACTACCACACCCGGCTAAGTTTTTGATTTATTGTAGAGATGTGGTCTCACCAAGTTGCCCAGGAGGGTCTCGAACCCGTGGGCTCAGGCAATCCACTCACCTCAGCCTCCCAAGGCGCAGGATTACAGGCTGAGCCACCGAGCCCGGTTCAGATCATCTTTTTCACTGACATCATGTCATAGTCTTGAGACTACACATTAAAAATATATTTCCAGTTATTTTCACACCCACATTTCAAACCATGTCTTGCCATTGTGTTTTAGTTAGTTATATACATTTAAACAGATGTCTCAGCATTAGTCTTTGGTGTTTTCCAGTATGAAAGCATAACTTCTGTTGGCCTGTTTTCAAAGAGAGCACCCTGTCATATATTTTATCCTCATGACCAGAGTTTTAACCAATATCAACTAGGAAGTAACTATATTTGAGACAGAACTTAGAAGTTGCCATGATAATATTATCTTTGGAAATCTTCTCTGCCATCTACTTTGTTGTAACACAGGGATCAGTCTGGTCCTTAATTATTTGAGTCTATATGATTCCTATTAGGAATAAAAGCTCCCAGCTATGTGTTTATGAGTATGCTGCCATTTATATTTCTCTTTTTCATCCAGTCTTAAGTACCATTTAAATCATAAAATTGTTTTCTAGTCACTACAGCATTCAACATTACTTTTTGCTGTGTTGTAGCACGTGTTGTAAGCAGAGAAAACTGTACTGAGTCACTGACCAATAAATTCTTATTCATGATAATGGTGATGATGATAATTATTTTTCTAATTATGTCTTGACAGACAAGAAATCATTTCTCCAGTACCCGTGAAGAGATGGAAGAACTCAAGAAAAGAATGAAAGAAGCTCCTCAGACACGCAAACTTCCAGGACAACCCACCATTGAAGGCTATCTTTATACGCAAGAGAAATGTGTGTGGGAACACAGGGATATTATCCACTGGTTTTCAGTAGGCTAGCACCTACAGCCACTTTACATTTCCACATTCTGTGCACCCATATTGTTCATAGAGCCCCTGATAGCTAAAGCTCCTTAGAGTGCAGGGAATAGTGGACAGAAAAAGAATGGAGAAGCTTAGGAGAAATTAAGAATTTGTCTAACAAAAACCCTAGGGTGATAAGACCTAAGATTTTTTCTAAGAGTAAAATGAGGATTCGTAATTGTTTCATCCTTGTGGTAACTCTTTGATTGGGGAAAATAGAGAGGTAGAGAAAAGAAGGCAGAAAAATAATATTTATTACACCTGCTATGGTGCTAAAGTGCTTTAAAAACACCATTTTCTTTAATCTTTGCCACCACCCTATATCCATTTTACACATGAGACCACTAAGGTTCAGATATCAGATAGGTCACCATTTGAAAGTTGCCCAGGCCAGGCTCGGTGGTTCAGCCTGTAATTCTAGCGCTTTGGGAGGCCGAGGTGAGTGGGTTGCCTGAGCCCGCGGATTTGTGACCCACTTGGGCAACTTGGTGAGACCTCATCTCTACAATAAATCAAAAATTAGCTGGGCGTGGTAGCACATGCCTGTAGTTCCAGCTACTTGGAAGGCTGAGGCAGAAGGATCGCTGGAACCTAGCAGTTCGAGGCTGCGGTGGCCAGGAGCAGCCATTGCACTCGAGTCTGGGCGACAGAGTGAGACTCCAACTCAGAAAACAAAAACAAAAACAGAAAGTTGCCCAACTAACAAGTGGCAAGTCTAAGATTAAATTCAGATATGTGAGATGCAAAAATCCATTCACTTACCACTATACCCTATACCATCCACTGCTTTTGGATCCCATGGTTTCTCTTCAAGCACTTAAGGACTATCATGATTTTAGTGGACAGGATAGCATTTGTAGTTCATTGCTAAACAAGGAAAATGGGATAAGTTGTTCAGTCATTGAGTGTTTCAGAGGATTTAAGCCATCCTTCCTCCTAAGCAACATTATGAACACCTGCACATGCTATTTGATTTTCCTTTTGAATGAATGAACCAGTGTCCCCAAAGTCTGTGATTTCAGTTTCTGCCCAGAGTTATTCTACCTGGCAGCAGGCAGAAGAGACATACTCAGTGGTTGCCAGTGGCAAAATCCACTGTAATACACAAAGCATGGCACTTCAACAGCGAAATGATCATGCTTTTCTCCCCTTAGAGCAATTAACTTTTGACAGTTTTGAAAGATGTGTTCTCCCACTTGTGAGGTTTACCTCCTCGACTCTGAATCACAGGCTTTCTCAATGTCAGAGTCATTGACATTTTGGCCTATATCATTCTTTGGTTTGGGGAGTGGTCCTTTGTTTAGTGTGTTTTTAGAAGCATTTCTGGCCTTTCTTCATTTTATGCTAATAGCACTCTTCAGGATAACCTAAAATGTTTCCAGACATTGCCAAATGTCCCCTGAGACATTTACCCCTAGTTGAGAACTATATGCTGTGTGATCCATCAGTGCCCTAATTTTCTAATTTGTCAATTGCGTATGACATCGCTACTCAGTTGAACATATGCTTAATGAGCATCATTTCTGCCAGCTACTATGCAAAGCATTGGGGATAAAATGAAAAACTGATTCAACCATGGTTTTTGTCCTCAAGATGTTCACAGTCTGATAGGGAAGACAGATAAGTATATCAATAATTATATGAAATGTGTTGGGCATTTTATTTTGGGCATTTATCTAAAGTCTCCACTGAGGAAGTGATATTTGAACTAGAACTTGAATGGTGAATAGGAGTTTGACAGGTAATAAAACAGGGAAGAGAATTTCGGGTTTCTACCACTATATGAGTAAGGGTAAGGGTGTGGGAGGACATGGTTGATTTATAGGGTCCTGGTTGGCCCAGAGCAGTCCTGCCTTATACCAGTTGTCCTGATTAATAATACTACCCTGTCGGGCTTGTTGGCTCAGCCTATAATCCCGCGCTTTTGGGAGGCTGAGGTGAGTGGATTGCCTGAGCCTACGGGTTCGAGACCCGCCTGGGCAGCGAGACCTAACATCTCAACAATAAAATCACAAAATCAGCCGGGCGTGGTAGCGCATGCCTGTAATTCCGGCTTTTTGAAAGGCTGAGGCGGAAGGATCGCCGGAGCCCAGCAGGTCGAGGCTGCGGTGGCTGGGAGCGGCCACTGCACTCCAGTCTGGGCGACAGAGTGAGACTCCAACTCAAAAAAAAAAAAAAATAATAATAATAATAATACCCCATTCACTTTTAAGAGAGTCTTGATTTGGTACTATAATTTATATGGCCACCTATTTATGTGGAAACTGAAAGTAATTCATTAAGACAGAAACACAGAGGTAAGGAAGCCAAAAGACAAGGCTGGAAAGGTACGTTTCTATCACATCATCAAAGGCATTGTAGGCAAGCTAAAAAGTATAGAGATAGTGGAAAAGCCATGTGTGTTTTAGAATAAGGGGTATGTCATAAATAGAGGTATATTCCTCTAGTAAAAGAGTGGAGAATGGACTGCAAAGAAGTGATCAGGGATGGCGACACCAGAGAGAAGGCAAGTGAAATAATTAATTGGAGAAATAGTGGAGTTTTGTTTTGCTTGAAACATTTCATAAAGCATTAGCAAATAAGACTGCAGTAGGGTCCTTAACTAATTCAGTACTAAAAGTGGCAGAGAGAAGGAGACCACTGAATTAGAGTCATATGGGGTATAGAAGGGGCAGAACACAATGACCAAACACATGGGACTGGTTACAGAGAAGGAAGAACACATGACAGATGTCTCCAGCTTCTGGGATGTATGGTGGTATCATTCGTAGGGAACATGGCAGGGACAGTAGGTTTGGAGCAAGCCAGGAGCAACTGTGGATGTATTTGGTGAAGGTTGGGATCTCTGTATGTATAGCAGGCAGGTGAATATGGAAGGGTGGAACTCAGAGCAAGGGTAGGGCTAGATCTGGAGTTTGACTGTAAAGAGCAAACTGTAAACAGCTGACATCTTAGGCGTGGACTGACTGTACAGCTAAAACAGTTATTCTGTCCGCTCACTTTTGCCTATCTTTGTAGGGGCTTTGGGGATATCCTGGGTGAAATACTATTGCCGGTATGAGAAAGAGACCAAAACACTCACCATGACGCCTATGGAGCAGAAGCCAGGTGCTAAGCAGGTCAGTTCTTGTTTGTGCCAAATTTTTGTAAATACATCTCAAAAAAGAATACACTTTGACTTTATGTCCAGAAGTTGAGTTCATCACTGTTATGTGAAGCCATGACTTTACTTATATGTTCTCCACCTAAGTTTGCTTTGGGTCAGATACCGTGGAGTTGAGTTAAAAAAAAATCTCTCTGTTAATTATGTCAGATCTTCATGTCAGGTCTTCTAAAAGTACCTTTTGTCTTTCAGACTGTTTATTATTACAAGCGCTTGTCACATTGTACAAAGAAATTATGCAAAATTATGTATGAATTGCTCTTAAGAAGGCTCTTAAAAGGATACTGTAGGATTCTTATAAGTAGCAAGTTTTAAAAATAGGAATCAATGTCCAGATTCCTATACCCACATTCTATGTAACACTCAAATATCTTCAAGCAATTACTAGCTTATCTTCTGCTCTCCAAGTCTTCCCCAAGTCCCCAAAATGACATGATAAATTTGACACATTGAGAAGTTCACTCACCTAGAAGAACATGATTTTTTATACACATGTGAGTGTGCCCGTGCGCGCACATACACACAAGATGACTATCAGACAGATTGTTTATATTCTAGAAGTAGTTCAATTTGTCCCTTTCCACTTTAACTGTCTCTCAGATATGGTTTTAATGTATGATTTTTAAGCATTTCCACTCTTTACAAATTGTTGGAAGCAATTCAAGGTTTACTTGTTAGCATTGGAAATAGTATATGAAAACTCATTTTAGGTAGGGAGGAATTTGGAGAACAGTTGGGGCAATTCATCTCTGTCACTCGTGCTTTCCATGGAAGTTCTCTCTTGTGTGGTGTATATATACATATGAAATTAGAGAGAAATGAGATTTGATTGCAGGCTGTTGAAAATTGCTTTTTTGGGGGTCTTTACCATGATATTTTCCATTCTGCTTAAATGTGGGAAATGGGTGATGACTTCTAGAGAAGTATATCAACCGAGGTTTCTAGAATCCTCATCTGTGCTTTTATCGTGGACCATTTACTCATTCATGACTTCAAAACTCTCCTCAGTTTCCAGTCTGCGAATTGCCAAAGCACTCTTTGGGGTGACTCCAATAAATTCATCTTGTGCTGCAGCACAGAATTTGTTCCAAGTCAGTCAGAACTTAGCTGATGTAACTGAGTAGCAAGTGCTTATAAGCAATACTGACCTATGGTCTTTCTTTTATTTTTCTATACATATTACTTTCTAAATCCTGGACAGGAAAGCTCTTCTGGTAGACAGTAATGTCATGTAGGTACTTTCTTTTGCTGTTCATATGTACTTATTGCAAAGCTAAAGACAGAGTCAGCAGATACCACTTTCATATCCTCCTAGCAGATGAGAACAAGCCCTCTTTTTAGTTTTTCTTTATCTCTTTTCATTGAATGGCTGCTTGCAAAGCTGTATTGATGTCAGCATAAGCAGTTTTATTGTGGAATTCTTTATGGAGTGGAAAGAGGAACTTGGTTTCTCATTTAGAAGGTAGGAGGAGGTGGAAGAAATTATTGCATTTACTCAAACTAGAGTTGGGAATGATTTCTATCTGTGTCAGTTCTCTGTCTCAGTTCTTAGTTCTAGTTTGTTTTTTAGAATTGTAAATATTACAAATAAATGATACTATAATAATAAGAGTGGTGTGCTACTATTTCTTGAATGTCTGCTGTATACCAGGCACTTAGCTAGGCTACTGTTCCATCCAGCCTGTTAGTGTTCCCCATTTTCTCTCCCAGCAGCTATGTTAAATAAGTGTCATGAACCCAATTTGAAGATGGAGAAATTGGCTCTCCTTCTGACTATAACATTTACCAGTGTTCCCCACTAGTTCAGCTTGTCAACTCTCATCTGCTCACTTTTCTGATCACCTTCCCAAATAATATTATCTTACAGCCTCATTCTTTCCCTGTTAGGAAGTTGTGGCTAGAAGAAAAAGTGCTGCATTTTGAATCTCAAGAACTGAGTTTAAGTCTTAGCTCTGTGCTCTAGTAGCTTTTTGACCCTGAGTTATTAAGGTGACCTTGAGTCATTAAGGTCATTAACATTACTTAGTGTTACTTAGTCTTAGTTTCCTCATCAGAAAAGTGGCTAGGATGGTAATTTAGTTCATAAGCACTTATTGAGCAATAACTAGGTACTACAGGTATAAAAATGAATAAAACAATGTTTTTGAGGAGTTCTCTGTCAAGTGGGGAAATCAGACCAAAAAACAGGAAATCTGAATGTAATGTGCAAAACACATAGTGGGCACTACATGGGGTTGGGGAAGAATTTTGAAGGAAATGAAACCTGACTGCAGTTTGTAAAACAAGAGTTAGGCAAAGAATATAGACAAAGTCATTTTGGGAAGGGGAGATAACATATGCAAAATCATGGAGTCATGAGATAGCATGATGTGTTTGTGAAATATGGGTACTTGTACACTGATAGGGCATTAAACAGGTGGGCAGTGGCTGTAGATAAGGCTAGATTGGTGAACAGGACCTAGGCCCCTGAGTCGCAATGCCACTGAAACAGAGGGTGTTGAGCGTTTAAAGAGGAAGGGTGAGCACATGAATCTGTTTATCCCTGTCATCTTAAAAGATTAACATGTGACATCGGGTTGAGATTTTTATAGTATAGGACCAGTTGAAGGGTTGGGCTGCAAGAGGTTGAGTGTGTCAGTGAAAAAGAAGTTTTGGGTGATTGGCCACATGGGTCAGTGTGGATAGCATAGTGCCTTGGCATCGTCTAGGCACTTGTGTTTCTGAATTTGAGATAATGAGGTAGGTATGTTGTTCCCATTTAATAGATTGTGAGGTTAAGACTCAGAAAGGGAAAATGATTTGCCCAGGGTCACATAGATAAGTGAATGGCATAACTGAAACAAGATCCCAGGTGTTAAGCTTCCTAGTTTGTTGCTACTTCATTACACCAACTTGGGTGACAAGCCGGTTTATCTCTCTGAGCTTTACTTCCCTTTAAGTGTTGTTATGAAGAAGGTTAGTTTAAAAATACCTAGCACAGCCGGGCTCGGTGGCTCAGCCTGTAATCCTGCGCCTTTGGGAGGCTGAGGTGAGTGGATTGCCTGAGCCCACGGGTTCGAGAGCCGCCTGGGCAGTGAGACCTCATCTCTACAATAAATCAAAAAAAAAATCAGCCGGGCGTGGTAGTGCATGCCTGTAATTCCGGCTACTTGGAAGGCTGAGGCGGAAGGATCGCTGGAGCCCAGCAGGTCAAGGCTGCAGTGGCTGGGAGCGGCCACTGCACTCAAGTCTGGGCAACAGAGTGAGACTCCAACTCAAAAAAAAAACAAACAAAAAAAACCCACAAAAAAAACCTAGCTCAACATGTGATAATTAGTAGGTGATAAATAAATGTTACTTATTCTGTACCACATTCTCTGTTGAGATAGAAAGGGAAATTGAAAAAAGTAGACTGTAGAATTTCAGTTTATGGACTGAAAGCTGACACAGTGGGTTTCAATGGTCTTTAATGGCCACAGGTGTAAGGTGGGCCACACTATCCTGCATATATGAAATATCAAATGCCACCTTGACTAATATAACAAATTGCTTATATTCCCTACTATTGCCCTACTTTTTGAGCGAATGTTTTTGTGATTCCCATTTTCCTTATGAGTCTGGAGTTGGGGAACAGAAACATTTGTTTCCCCTCCTTTATCTGACACTTTAAAGGAAGCTTCTTTGCTCAACTTCCCTCTGACTTTTAAGGAGGGCTTCAGACAGCCACTTAGCCCATTGCAGCCTTCCTACCTAGAAGCCTTATGAAAGTTTTATTCTGTACACTTACTGTCATTTGGGTAGCCCATTTCTCTTACCTTCCCTTTGGATGATGTGTACTGAGCCTCCTATTTAATCTTCCATGCTTGGGAAAGAATGCTGGACTACTCTGAGCATTTTTTTCCTGGTCTCAGCCGTTGATGCTTGGAGCAGGAACAAACCATCTGCCATCTTGCTGGGAGTACCGTTTGAAGGGACAAGGCTCTCAGTGAGTTTACACGTTGCTCCTGCTGCCTAGACAGACACCTTCCAAATGACAATGAGGACACTGTAAGATGCAGAGATCGCTTCTGTGACTTTTTTCAAATTTCCTGTTAATCTTTCTTTTATATCAGGGGCCCTTGGACTTAACTCTGAAGTACTGCGTGAGAAGGAAAACGGAGTCTATTGACAAGAGGTTCTGTTTTGATATAGAAACTAATGAAAGGTAAGCTGTGCTGGTTTGAACTGGCAGTGTCCTCACATGCCAGATACTGAGCCTGGGTAGGTCTTTTATTCTCCTCTGTTATCTCTTGTTGATGAAAATGAGCAAGTCTTTTCAAGACATCATTGTCTCTGCTCTTCTGGCTGTCCTTCACAGAGATCCCTGTTAGACCTAGCCCAGAGCTGGTTTTCTCTGTGCAAGCTTCAGTTGGCTTTGTCTCACCTGATGCTCTAGGCAGAAAAAGTTTCTCCTGGGAATTTGTTTGCTATCAGATATGCAAAAGGTCAGCATTTGGTGATGTTGCAAAAAGGACAGTATAACACAGCTTGTTCTTTTAAAAATCTCCTAATATAACAAAGAGGAACAAGTGAATTGGCACACCTTTTTAAGGGAAGATGGGGTGGAGGGTGATAGTGCTATTGGGGAGTCCTATTATCTCAGTTGGTGTAAAAGTGATACAGACTTTCCCTGTTTTGTAGATATTTATGTTAACTGGAAATAGTAAGTCTATCAACTTTCCGATCTTAGAGCTATGGCTTTTAAATTTTGAAATTGGTTGCATTTGTTTCTCCCCGGTGACCTCTTTTTTCCTTTGACCCTGAACAGTTTAATACGAGGATAATTTAACTTTAAAAAAAAATTTTTATTATAAAGATGTGGGGTGCAATTCAGGGTTAGGTATACAAACGTTGATCATGCAGGTACCCTTGTTGATGAGGTATGCCCTTCCCTCCCCTAGCAGATTCCCTCAACTGCCAATCCTTCCCTCCTCCCCTGACAGCTTGCCATTACTGCCAATCACTTTCTTATAGCATTATAATTGTTCAAGGTCCATTTATGAGTGAGAACATATGGAACTCTGTTCTTTGTTTCTGTGATAATCACTGAGTACGATCAACCCAAATCCATCCAAGTTGCTGCAAAGTCCATATATTTGTTCCTTATGGCTACATAATATTCCATCGTGTATATGTACCACATTTTTTTTTATCCAGTCCAGCTTCAATGGGCGACACAGTTGGTTCCATGTTTTTGCTTTTGTGAATAGAGCTGCAACAAACATACGTGTGCAGGTATCTTTTTGGTAGAATGATTTGAGTTCCTCCGGGTATATTCCCAATAGGGGAATTGCTGGGTCATATGGAAGGTCAATTTTTAGTTCTTTCAGAAATCGTCATGCTGTTTTCCAAAGAGGTTGTACTAGTTTGCATTCCTATCAGCAGTGTAGAAGCGATTCCTTTTTCTCCACATTCTCGCCAGCATCTCTTGTTGTTTGTTTTATTAATTATAGCCATTCTTACTGGGGTTAGGTGGTATCTCAATGTGGGCTTGATTTGCATTTCTCTGATGATGAGTGAGGCTGAGCACTTTTTCTTGTGTCTGTTGGCTGCCCATTTATCTTCTTTTGAGAAGTGTCTATTCATGTCTTTTGCCCACTTTTTATGGGGCTGTTTGTTCTTTTCCTTTTGACGCATTTCAGTTCCTTGGAGATCCTAGGTGTTAGGCCCTTGTCGGATAAACAGTTGGGAAATATTTTTTCCCATTCTGTGGGCTGTCTCCCTGCCCTCTTGATGGTTTCTTTTGCTTTGCAGAAGCTCGTTAATTTTATGAGGTCCCACTTGTCTATCTTATTTCTTAAGGTATTGGCCTTTAGGGTTCTGAATAGGAATTGATTGCCAGTTCCAATTTCCATAAGGGTGTCTCCTGCATTTTCTAAGATTCTTATAGTTTGAGGTTTTACGTTTAGGTCCTTGATCCATTTAAAGTTAATTTTTGTATATGGTGATAGGTAGGGGTATTTAACTTTTAAAATAAGAGCATTTGGCATGATTTTGGAGAAATGACTGCTTTATAGTTGGCAGGTTAATCCAAAGTCAATGAATAAATATATTTCTAGATTTCTTAAAGAACGATTATTTCTGTATATTAGGCGCTGAATAATAGAATAGAATTTAGCAAAATGATTAGATCAGATTGCTAGAAAGGAAATTGAAGGGGAATGGAATTGTGCTTCTTATTTGGGTTTTTGTTTATTATTGGTGTAAAGAAATGCGATTGTCTTTTGCACATTTATTTTATATCCTGAGACTTTGCCAAAGGCCTTTATCAGTGTAAGGAGGTTTTTGATAGATTCTTTTGGGTTTTCAAAGTATACAATCATGTCATCTGCAAAGAGAGACAATTTGACTTCCTCTTTTCCTATTTGGATACCCCTGATTGCCTTCTCTTCTCTGATCGCTCTAGCCAGGACTTCCAATACTATATTGAACAGGAGGGGTGAGAGTGGGCATCCTTGTCGTGTTCTAGTTTTCAGGGGAAATGGTTCCAATTTTTGTCCATTTAGGAGTATGCTGGCTGTGGGTTTCTCGTAGATGGCTTTTACTACTTTGAGGTATGTTCCCCGTATGCCTAGATGTTCGAGGGTTTTTCTCAAGAAGGGGTGCTGGATTTTATCAAAAACTTTTTCTACATCTGATGATATAATCATGTGGTTTTTGCTTTGACATCTGTTGATGTATTTAATTACATTTATTGTTTTGCGAATGTTGAACCAGCCTTGCGTCCCAGGGATGAATCCTACTTGGTCATAATGAATGATTTGTGAGATGTGTTGTTGAATCCGGTTTGCTAGGATCTTGTTGAGAATTTTAGCGTCTATGTTCATCAAAGATATTGGCCTGTAGTTCTCTTTTTTTGTTGGGTCTTTACCTGACTTGGGTATCAATGTGATGTTAGCTTCATAAAATGATTTGGTGAGGGTTCCATCTTTCTCAATTGCCTGAAATAGCTTTAGTAGGATTGGAATCAGTTCCTCCTTAAGTGTCTTGTAGAATTCTGCTGGAAAGCCATCCGGTCCAGGGCTTTTTTTTGTAGGTAGTTTTCTTATTACATAGTCAATTTCCTTGATTGTTATTGTTCTATATAGAGTCTCAATTTCTTCTTGTTTCAACCTAGGCAGGTTATGTGATGACAGAAAGTCCTCCATTTCCTTGAGGTTTTCAAGCTTGTTTCCATACAAGTGTACATAGTAGTCTCTAATGATCTTTTGTATTTCTTCAGGATGAGATGTGCCTTCATCTTTTGTATTTCTGATTGTGCTTCTTTGGGTTTTTTCTTTCTTTTTCTTGGTCAGTCTAGCTAGGGGACCATTGATCTTGTTTATCCTTTCGAAGAATCAGCTTTTT